ATTTATAGGCTCCTATAATAAACCTTCTTATATCTATACTAATTATAATATCTATAATCTCTATTATTACTAATATATTTTTTATAGTTCCTGCTATTATTACTTTATTATTTAATAGGATTATATTCCTCTTATCTTCTATAACTATTTCTAATATTATAGTAATTCTTACTACTTTTCTCTCTACTTCTTCTATTATAGTAACTCTAGCTACTCCTGCTACTATTATTATACTAGCTCCTATTATTATACTAGCTCCTATTATTCCTGCTATTACTATAGCTCTAATTACTCTAACTATTCTAGTTATCTTTACTAGCCTAGCTATTATTATATAAATACTATACTACTTATATTATACTAAATCTTAATAGTATATAAATAATAGTCTTATAAAAGCCTATTCTTATATATATCTAAATCTAGAATAATAATATACTTAATATACTTATTTATATAAAAAGTACTTTTTTATTATCCTATTTATATAGATTAATCTTAGGGAAATTTAAGTAATATCTAGTAAGATAGTAAGTATAATAACCTATACTTAATAAATCTATATTATTAAGATTTTTATCTATTATCTTAAGATTAAGAACTAGATAAAAAAATTATTTTAATTTATTAATTATAATATATTTTACTTACTTAATATATAGTATATTAGGGGTAGTATAATAAAATTAAAAAATAATAATAAAAAGATTTAAGATAGTTATAATAATTAAAAATTTACTAATATTATAATATAAATACTTTATTATTTTTATTTTTATATAATAAAATTAAGTTATTTTCTTAAAATTTTTTAATACCTATAATATACTCTTATTAAATCTTAAAATTTAATAGAAAAAAAAAAAAATAATATTATTAATATATTTTTATAATTTTTTTTAATTTTTTAATCTTATTAATTTATTATTATTATATTTTATTATTTTATAATATTTTATTAGTATCTTACTTATATTTTATTTATATAATAAAATTTATTTAGAATATTTTATATATTTTTTAAATTTTTTATTAATTACTAAGTATTCTTATATATTAATTATTTTTTTTATTTAATTAAGTATTAATCTTTACTATATAATTTTTATTATATAATAATTTATTCTACTTTTTATTCTTCCTTATTATTAATAATAACTAGCTAGAATAATACTAGTAAATTACTATTTCTTATATTTTATTTCTTAAGAAGTAATATATAAAAGACTAGATAGATTTTTTTATATAATTTAGATAATTATAGATAATATACTTATTAACTTATTATCTTAACTATTTTAAATAATTCTTTATATTTAATATCTAGCTTCTTACTAGGCCTTTATATATAAATATTTTTTATTAATAATAATATTTATTAGCCTATATAATATTTAATTAGGTAATACCTCTTATTATAGCTCCTTACTTATTATTTAATAGTATAGTATAAATTCTTTTCTAGCTAATAATATTTTACTTATAATTAATTAAATTATTTTCTTATTACTATAACTATACTAAAGTTCTTAATATTAGTAAGCTTAAGTAATACTAGCTAGTAATTATATTATATCTTATAAAGAAATATTCCTAATAATATATTTTTTATATTATTATATATAAATTCTATTATACTTAGCTAGTTTATTTAATTAATTTATTAGTAATTAATATAGATCCTTAAATAAGTCTTTAATATCTAATTCTAATATTTTATTTAGCTATTTATTTATAAATAGAATATAATACTTAATTATTCTTTAATTTAAAGTCCTTAATATAACTAGATCTAATATTTACTAGTAAAGAATAAGCTATAATTACTTACTAGACTTCTTAATACTCTTATTTTAAATATAATCTTTTCTATAAATATATTAACTAGCTCCTTAGTATTAATATTTTTTATTATTAAAAAGTATTTAGCTCTCTTAATATATTAATCTATAATTACTAAGATAGTATTATACACGTGCCCTTTTTATATTAATAGTAGTAAGCCTATAATAAAGTCTAGAGTTAGGTCCTACTAAAGATATTCTAGTACTAGAAGCTTTATAAGCTAGCCTAATAAAAGTTATTTAAATATCTTTATTTTTTAATAAATTAAATAACTTTTTATATATTTTTTAATATTATATTATAGGATATCCTAATAGAATTTTTATTTAATAAAATTTAATATCTTTTCTTAATTAAAGTAGTTTATATATAAATTATTATAGTATATTCTTAATAATTCTTAATATATTATTTAATTAAAAGAAATATAAATAATCTTATTATATTATACTAGCCCCTTACTATTAATATATTATTTATTCTTATAAATTTATCTTTATTTAATATTATTCTTAAGCTACTTTATTACTTCTTATTTAAGTAATTTCTCTACTATTTAAGTATACCTCTAGTATACTAGATATTTCTTACTAGTATTACTTTAAATATAACTTATATAGATATCCCTATATTATATTTTCTAAAGTAAATTTTATAAAGTAATTAATAGTATCTTATAGGCTTACTTATTACTAGCTATCCTTTATATTAATATTTTTTAAATTAAAAGTTCTAGATCTTTTAACTATATAATTAAGATCTTTTAAAAAGCTATTATCTTATTTTTACCTTAATTATTCTATAAATTTCCTAACTTTACCTAAAATATAAGTAAGAGTTCCTTAACTATATTTTATTAGATAGGTTTATAATTCTTTTACCTTAAAAATATATTAGCTAGATTAAGACTACTAAGCTAATATTTAATCTAGAAATTATATATTATTAGGAGCTTAACTTATCTAGCTTAATATTAATTTAAAATCTTAATAATATAAAAATATTTTAGATTTATATAATTTATTTATATATATATTATATATAAATTATCTTTAAAATAATAATATTATATTTTAAAGTATTTTATTATAATTAGTAATTCTTAATTATAGATTTTATACTTCCTCTTTACCTTAATTAACTTCCTTAAATAAAAGGCTATAAATTACTAAGTAATATACTATATCTTTATAAATTAGATATTATTATATTATATTAAGATTCTTATAATTATAAAACCTAATATATTAATTACTAGAAATATCTCTTATTCTAGGTTAAAATACTATAATACTAGAAATCTAGAAAATACCTACTTTAGTACCTTAAAGATACTTTAATTATTCTCTATTATTTTAAAGAGATTACTTTTTTTCCCCTTTATTATTCTCTTTAATATATTATTTAATAGGGTAGTAATTTTAGAGTACTAGTAAATAAATTTTTAAAAATATTCTATAAATCCTAGGAATACTTAAATATTATAGAATAAATATAATTCTAGCTAGTTATTTATAATATATACTTACTTAAGATTTATTTAAATTTCTTTAATTCTTATAATAAAGTTAAGAAAATATACTTCCTTCTAGTAAAAACTATATTTTAATAATTTTATATAAAGATTATACTTCTAGAAATATAATAATACTTTATTAATATAATACTTATATTCTTTCTTTATTTATAAGTAAATTAAAATATTATCTAAATATATTATATAAAATTTATCTAAAATCTTTTTTATTATTTTATTAATATATACTTAAAAAATAGCTAGGGTATTATATAATTTAAAAAATATAATTAAATATTTATAATATTTATATCTTATATAAAATATTATTTTTTACTTATTATTTTAATAAATATAAATCTAATAATAAATATCTTATAAATCTAATTTAATAAATTATTTAGCTCTAACTAATTAGTCTATTAATTTATTAATTTATAGGAAAGAATATTAATTCTTAATAATAATTATATTCAGGCCTTTATAATCTATATAAAATTATAATAATTTATTAGTCTTTTATATAAAAAGTACTAGCATGCCTACTATACTTATTAAGGGCTAGATCTATTCTTTTTTTAATATTTAATTAATATATTCCCTTAAGATTACTAACTCTATTCTTAATATATTATATAGCTAGCCTATTAATAATATTATACTAGTAATTAATAATATATTATAACTAGCTTTTTTAAAGAAAAGTACTTCTATCTTTTTTTTTAAAAATATTAATTTTTATTCTTTATAATATTTAGGGAGAGCCCTTATTATACTACTATTATTATATAATTAGCTTAAGACTAGTATAGTAAGTCCTTACCTTATTATATTTTTAAATTATTTAAGTAATTTAATTTTAATCTTTAACTTTTTTTTTTAATAGTACTAGATATTTATTACTAAGAAGATATTAAGATTAACTAGACTTAATTAATTATATTTTAAAATTAATTAATATTTTTTTTTTTCTAAATTTATTATATAATATTCTATATTAAATTTTTTAATTTTATTAAGACTATTTATAATTTAGCTCTTTATCTAGAATCTTATATAATATAGTACTATTAAATTATTAGTAAAATATATAAATTACTTTATTTTTATTTTATTAAAATTTATTCCTTCTTTAGTTAAAAAATAATAAAAAATAAAATCCTTATTTACTCTAATATTTATAAGTATCTTTATTATAATTTATTTCTTACTTACTAAAATAACTATAATAGCTAGAAAAAGTCTTATTAATATCTTTTTATCTTATTAAAGTACTAGAGATTCTAGAATATTTAATTATTATTAATCCTAATTTTCTAATTTTCTTATCTCCTTAATACTTTCTTTATACTAGGGGTATTTCCTTATAATATAACTAGTTTAATTATACTAGTAATATTAGTCTTTTTTTTATTAATTCTAATAATTCTACTACTCTTTCTTTAATTCTTTCTACTAAAATTTAGTTAGTTAGGAGTGTCACGGTGCGAAGCCGTAGTACCTATCTAGTTAGATTCTGCCTTGACTGTCCGCCCTTATTCCTGTATTTAAGCCACGTTGTCCTTGATCCTGTTGTAGCTCTTCGAGCTACATCCTGTCTATTACCTGACACCTACTGTTCTGCTGTTCTGTCTGGTTAGCTCCTAGTCAATAAATATCTAAATCTGACTCTGCCCCCTGACATTACGTAGCTCCTCTCTACTAGGAGTTAATTGCTACTATCATGCCTGCCTCGCTGCCCGTGCTGCCCGAAAGCATGGAAACCCTCCTGCATAATGCCCCCAATAAATTAAGACAGTACATCACCAAGATGTACCAGTTCTCTACTGCTGCTGTGGAAGAACTCCATGAATTATCTACCCTATGCTCTACTATTACTAACCTTCTCAACTGTATTCAACAGAAAGATGGTGTGATTAAGTACCAGAAGATACAAGCCAAAGAAACCCAACAGGAGCTATTTAAAGCACTCACTTAGAATAGCATGCCTTCTCAATCACCATCTCCTTCCAAAAGAGATGCCAATGTTACTGCCCCCCCTACTACTGCTACTGCTCTTACCACATCTATTCCTACTACTCAAACCTCTAAACGACTTCCCGACCCCAATAAGTTTAATAGCCAACAAAGTAACCTAAGACGCTTCACTTCTCAAATCCGCCAGAAGATGACCATGAACCTTAACCATTTCCCAACCCTAAATAGCAGAATAGCTTACATGACCAGTCGCCTTGAAGGAACCCCATACGCCCAAATCTTGCCATATATCCGAGACAGAATCTGTGAACTAAGTAATTATACTAAGATTTTGGAAATCCTGGAGAAAGCTTTTAGAGACCTGAATCTAGAAGCTAATGCTCGTGCCAACCTGTTCTGCCTCCAACAAACCCATCGCGAGTTTAGTATCTTTTTTGCTGAATTCCAATACCTTGCATTAGAAGGGAACATGAATGAAGATATCTTGCCTACAATTCTGGAACAGGCTATTAGCCAAGAACTTCAAGAGATGTTAATATACTCTGAGGCCCCATCACAATACCATGACTTTACCAATCACCTGCAAAATCTAGAAAACTGCTACTACCATTACACGAGTACTGCCCTGCCCCTGTCTACAAAGAATTCCCAGCCTCCCTAACCTATCTTAAAGCCAACTCCCGCTGCCTAAATTCCTGTGGTCCCTGTTAATCCCGTTGTTGCTGCTGCTCCCGCTGAAGACCCGATGGACCTGTCTATCACCCGTCGCCTTGATCGTCGAACCCAACGCCTGTGTTACCGCTGCGGCGGCGCTGACCACCTAGTAGGCAGCTGCCCGCACCCTGACCGAAGACCAACCAGCCGTACCTCTATATCTACTGCCAAACTGGACCCGTACCCCCTATTAACCAGAACCCTGCCTGCCGAACGCCCCGCGTCCCCCGAATCAGAAAATAGAGTGTCCCTGACCTAAGCCGCAATCAGGGACACCCCTGGTGCTCCCTCTACCTGTCAAAGGCTGCGATAGCTAGAATAACGGTAGAGGAGGAAAGTTGCTGATCTAAACTAATAATCCTGCCTGTTAACCTGGAGACCCCTGATAAGACTCTGCTGACCTTCACTATGATTAACTCTAGAGCCGAGGGTAAATGTTTCATAGACCGCGATTGGGCCATGGACAACTAACTAGAGATGCTACTATTAAAGAACCCCATCCTGCTAAGGGGATTTGATGGTACTCCAGCAGAGTCTGGCAATATCACTCATTTTGTTTGTTTAATCCAAAGAATCCATAACCATGCCAAAAAGAACACTACTTTCCTTGTAACCCAACTTGCACACTTTCCTGTTATCCTTGGCTTGCCTTGGTTAAAGACCCATAACCCCTAGATTAGATTTGCCAATCATACTGTTCTGTTTGAAAGCCCCTATTGTAGGAAACACTACAATACGCCTCTAAAGCCTATGAAGATTTCAGTGTTACATGATATACTGCTGAAAGCTTCTCCCTGATGCCTTGACCCCCGCCCTGAACCTCTGAAGAACCAAGATATTGCTAGAGTCTTGGTTGCTGCCTGTGCCGCGTATGCCCGCCGTGGATACTGGATGTTTGCTGCCACTGTTGCTGATATTAAAGCCGCTCTGAACCCTGTTACTGTCACTGAATCTGAGCTGCGAGAGCAACTACCCCCTGAGTTTACTAAGTTCTATGATATGTTCTCACCAAAGGAGGCCGAGCGCCTGCCACCCCACCAACCTAATAATTATGAGATCAAACTGCTACCTGGAAAAACCCCACCTTTTGGGAGCCTGTATAGCATATCCCGAGACAAACTAAAAGTTCTAAAGGAATAGATTAAAAAGAACCTGAGGAAAGGTTTTATTCACCCTAGTTCCTCCCCTGCTGCATCCCCTATCCTGTTTGTAAAGAAACCTGGAGGAGGCCTGTGATTCTGCGTGAACTACCAAGCCCTGAACACAATCACTGTGAAAGATCATTACCCGCTACCACTAACAAAAGAGACACTAAATAACCTGAAAGGGATAAGGTATTTCTCAAAAATTAATATTATCTCTGCTTTTAATAATCTGCAGATTAAGAAAGGACAAGAATACCTCACTGCCTTCTAAACTCAGTTAGGCCTGTTTAAATCCTTAGTAATGCTATTCGGGCTTACTGGAGCCCCGGCATCATTCCAGAGATTTATTAACAAAACCCTGCACGATTATCTAGATATCTTCTATACTACATATCTAGATGATATTCTGATTTACAGCCAAACCCATACCAAACATACCTATCATGTCCAACAAGTATTAGAACACCTACGAGCAGTAGGACTTTATGCCAAATTTAGCAAATGCGAATTCTTCATGCGCGAGACGAAGTTCCTAGGACTAATTATGGGTGGAGATGGCTTCCAAATAGACCCTGACAAAGTAAAAACAATCACCAAGTGGGAAACACCAACCTATCTGACTGATGTTCAAGCCTTTATTAGCTTTGGGAACTTTTACCACCAATTTATCCATGACTTTTCAAAAATCATTGGACCATTAGTTAACCTGACTAAGAAGGATGTTAACTTTAACTGGACACCTGCCTGCCAAGAAGCATTTAAACAACTAAAAGCTGCTTTTATAAATGCCCCAATACTGAAACCTTTTGACTAGTCAAAAAATATAATTCTAGAAACTAATGCCTCTGATTATATATCTGCTGGAGTACTATCATAACATAATAATAAAGGCATATTACACCCTGTTGCATTTTTCTCTAAGAAACATTCTATGATGGAATATAATTACAAGATTTATGATAAAGAACTGTTAGCCATTATTTGCTGCTTTAAAGAATAGCGCCCTGAACTGGAAGGGACTCCATCGCCCGTGAAGGTTATTACAGACCACCAGAACCTGGAGTATTTTATGTTGACTAAGCTACTAAACTATTAACAAGCCCGCTAGTCCAAATTTCTATCAAGATTTAACTTCCAAATATATTACCGCCCCGGGAAGTTAGGTACTAAGCCTGATGCACTGACCAGGAGGTCAGAGGACCTGCCTAAAGAGGGGGATGAATGACTCCTTCACCAGAGCTAGACTGTCCTGAAATCCAAAAACCTGCTGCCTAAGACTACTGCTAATCTAAGACTAAATGCTAACAGCCAACACCAAGTACACTTCACTAAACAACCTGCCACTGATAAACTAATCTCCCTGCCGCCAACACTGCAACCACTATTTAATAGAGCTTATCCACAAGACAAGAAGCTCCAGTCTATTCTGAACACCCTGAAGGATGGTCTACCAAGACACCCTAATATCACACTGGCTGACTATGGACGCGTTGGTCCATACCTGAGATACCAAGACCAACTTTACATGCCTAACTATGATAAGACAAAAGCCAAAATACTAAGACTCTGTCATGAAAATCCTGCCACTGGACATCCCAGAAGGACTAAGACATACAAACTGATATCACACAAATACTTCTGGCCCGGGATCTATGAGTATGTTGACTGATAGATCCAGAACTGTCACCTCTACCGCCAAATCACCCCTTCCCGAGAAGCAAAGCAAGGAGTACTAAAGCCTCTGCCAATTCCTGAACATGCCTGGCAAGATATAAGCATGGACTTTATCACGCACTTACCACTAAGCAATAGCTATAATGCTATCCTGGTTGTAGTTGACTGTCTAATAAAGATGAAGCACTTCCTCCCCTGCGCCAGGATGATTAATGCTAAAGGGGTAGCTAACCTATTCCTTAAGCATATCTGGAAGCTCCATGGTATCCCCAAAACAATCATGTTGGATTGTAGAGTCCAGTTTGTCGCTGCCTTCTAGAAATGCCTGACATCCCGCCTAAAGATCTGTAACCTGCTGTCCACTACTTATCACCCTGAGACCAACGGCCAAACTGAACGTGCCAATACCATCTTAGGACAATACTTGCGAGCATACACATCGTACCTGCAAGATAATTGGTCTGAATGGCTACCAATAGCTAAGTTTGCTGCCAACTCTATCTACTCCAAGTCTATGGGAGTATCACCATTCATGGCTAACTACAGATTCCACCCAACATTAGGGTTCGAACCAAGCCGCCCTGCTGTCCACCTTGCTGAGAAAGATGCTGAGAAGTTCGCCAATACTATATATAAGATTTACAAGTTTATCCATACTAAGATCCTGTCCACTCAAGCCTGTTACGAAGTACAAGCCAACTGCTGAAGATAACCCGCACGTTGCTATGCCGTGGGGCAAGAAGTCTGGCTAGACGCCTGTAATATCTGAATACTCCGCCCGCAGAAGAAGTTAGACTGGAAGAACTTCAGGCTGTACTGTGTTAAGAAGATTGTTAGCCTGCATGCTTATGAACTTGAACTGCCTGAAAGTATGAGAATCTATCCTGTGTTTAACATGTCTCTGCTCTGCCCTGCTGCTGATGATCCTCTGCCTGGTCAATACCCTGATCCGCCACCGCCCGTTAAAGTAGAAGGATTAGAAGAATGGGAAGTCAAGGAAGTCCTTGATTCCTGATAGGTTTGTCGAGGCCGTGGCGAACCTAAGCTGCGATACACTGTCAAGTGGATTGGATATGATGAGCTAACTGAAGAGCCTGCTGAGTATCTGGAGAATGCCCGCCAACTGGTGAATAATTACCACCTCTGTTATCCTGAGAAACCCCGGCCGATTCCTCCCTAGTCTCAACGGAGCTCGACCCTAAGGAGGGGGGTACTGTCATGGTGCGAAGCTGTAGTACCTATCTAGTTAGATTCTGCCTTGACTGTCCGCCCTTATTCCTATATTTAAGCCATGTTGTCCTTAATCCTGTTGTAGCTCTTCGAGCTACGTCCTGTCTATTACCTGACACCTACTGTTCTGCTGTTCTGTCTGGTTAGCTCCTAGTCAATGAATATCTGAATCCGACTCTGCCCCCTGACAAGGAGTTTATTATTTTATTATTATTTTTTTTTCTTTTTTTTAAATTATCCTTTAATATATAAGACTCTAGGAATTAATTTAATTATATTTTATTTAGCTTTTTCTATTTTTCTTATTTCTAAAGTTTCTTATACCTTGTCTCTAGTTTAGTAACTTTAGCTAGACTTTATAATATTATTATATCTTGCTAGATTTCCTTATATAATTTAAATTAGGCTATTTAAATAGCTAGCTAGTAGAGGAATCCTTTAAAATTAGCTTTAATTATTAGAATAAATTTCTCTATCTAGATTATTAAGATTTATATACTTTATTATAATTCTTATCTTATATATAAGAGCTAGTAAGCTATTATTTATTTATAATCTCTTTCTAATTCTAGAAAATTTTATAAAAATTTAATAAATTTTATATAAATAAGTTCTTTAAGATTTACTTTATATTTAAAGTATTATATTTATTTTATATTATTTTTTAAATAACTTATAATATAATAAACTTTAACTATATTACTCTTATAAAGTTTTCCCTATAATCTAAAGTAATTTTAAAAATTTTTTAAGAAGATATTAAGTTCTTTTAGATTTTATACTTTAAAGAACTTAAGTTTAAATATCTTCTTCCTATCTATTTATATAACTTGTGCTATATATTAGGTTATATACTATAGCTTATTATCTTTTATTAACTTAATAAATTAATACTAAAGAATTACTAGTACTATTAAATCTTCCTTAATAATAATTTTTAGTACTATAATTATAGATTTTATAGAATTTAAATTTATTACTTTTTAAAAGAAAAAGTAGATAATCCTTCTTATACTTATTATATTACTTTACTTAATTAAGGAAGTACTTTAAATTATAAATATTTTACTAGTAAGATACTTAAGTATAGATAGTATTAATAAAGAAAGTAAAGCTATATAAAATATAAGAATAGTAGAAAAATATTAAAAGTAATAAAATAAAATACTTGCCTCTTAGTACTTTAGGGGTTATTATATTATTATTTATATTATTTAGTTAAGTTACTAGCATGGTACAGGCAACTTAAATATTACTATTCTCCTAATTACCCTTAGTTACTGGGTATGTGGTTCGGCATGTGGTTCGGCATGTGGTTGCATGTCACGTGGTCGCCGTGACAATTACTAGTAATAACTAGAATTTCTAATTTTACTAGTAATAACTAGTAGTACTAGAACTTCTAATTATAATTAATAAAAATAAATATATACTAATCTTTTCTAATAATCTATATCTTTTATCTAGATAGTAGTAACTAGAGATTCTAATAATTACTAGATATTACTAGTAATAACTAGAATTTCTAATTTTATTAATAGTTACTAGTAATTACTAGAACCTCTAATTATAATTAATAAAAATAAATATATACTAATCTTTTCTAGTAATCTATATCTTATTATCTAGATAGTAGTAACTAAAGATTCTAGTAATTATTAGTAAATATTAATAAAATTAGAAATTCTAGTTATTACTAGTAATTATTAATAAGATTAGTTCTTTTTTAAAAATAATTATAATAATCTAATCTAGATATATATTTTACTTAAGTAAGTACTAGTCTTAACTAGTCTTAACTAGAAATAATATACTATATTATACTATAAAAAATATACTATATTAAATCTTATCTTGCTAGGTAGTATTTTACTACTTAAATTAAGCATGACTGGTTATAACTAGTACTATTAGATAGGTGATTTTAAATCCTGCAGCTTTATAGAATATATTACTGACTTACTACTAGTATTATTATATATAGTAATAGAATTTGGTCATTACCAGTCCTACCTGGTCCCAACTTGTCAAATTTGGTAGCCACCTGGCGACCTGGCGACCTGGCGAGCTGTACATTCAAGCATGATTCGCCGGGTTGTGAATACCTAGGTATGTACTTGTTGCTACCTAATACGGAATGTTTGATGCTGTATAATAAGGATTACAGGTATCTCAATCCAGCTTGGCTGCAATTGGTTAATGGGCGGCCTTCTCCTATCCCCTGAATTACACATTCCCTCACTTTCAATAGTGACAAAGACATATTCCCTCGTCAAAATTCTAATTAAAGCTCTGGGGATAAGAGAGATGAACAGAAGGGCTGAAGCTGGAGCAGACGACGATGGGATGCGAGGAGGCAGCGATGCTATTCATACTTAGGCCCCTCGCTTTGACACTATATGTATAGAGTATACCTGCCGCCACCTCCATGTATGTATTTATTCACAGCGAACCATTATGTACTGAGCCCTTACCATGTACGCATTGTAATTGCAGATGAAATTGCACTTACATCAGTGATATGTTTCCTGTTAAATGTATTCCACGGCCCGAATTCCTTCATTCTTAGGAAGGATGGAATTGAGTGATCTAAGATATTTCCCCTGCGATATGCCAAATACTTGTCATCAAATTTTGTAAATGTGATGTATATCTCATGCCGGTCTTGAGAGACAACCACAAACTGGCTAAATTCCAGTGTTACCTACTATACCCCTGTTTGATTGACTCTATTCTTGGTCACTAACCCAATTCTAATTTCAGAGGATATAGCAACCCCTGCGTAATGTTGATTCCTCTTCTATCTAGCTGCATAGCAACCGCAGTAACAACCACTAACTCTGCCTGGACGTTCCTAACCTACACGACTAATACCCGCCAGCCGACTCCTTTACCGCTGGCTCCGAGGACCTGGTCCAACTGTTCAACTTATACGGAGTACATTGCGCCGGTGCGGAATACCTTGATAATCAACTCGTGCTATATCGTGGCAAGCATTTATGACAGTGAGAATAGTCAAACAAATCTCTATAGCCGGTTATCTAACATCTTTCCTTGTTACAGCGGACGTGACAGACTTTGTCTCATGGAATCTATCTCTCTCCTATAACGAGAATGATCCCAACACCTGCCAACTGAAACTAGGATATTAGTACTGTGTCCAGTCGATGGTCCCCACTGCTACACCCACTACGACGACAACAGCATCCAGGACAACAGCTAGCGAACAGGCCGCGAGCATGGTTCTAAGTGGTCAGCTAACTCCGCTCCCTATTCAGGTATATAAATCCCCTAGTTGTTATTCTTTTTAGTTGCAAATCATTCACCTTCAAGAACTAACTTAATATAATCTAATTAGGACGGAATGACTACCAGCTGCGGTGCCTTCTATCTTGTCAAAACTAACAACAGCTGCTACGATATTGCTGCGTCATACGGTATCGCGATCGTTAAATTATATATCTGGAATCCGGCACTAAACGGGGACTGTACGGGGTTATACCCAAACTATTATATTTGTGTCGGGCTGATCGGTAACACAACCACCACTACCACTACAACAACGACTCCAACTAGAGGAGAGGTTGCAACGCCCATTCCAACTCAATCAGGAATGGTAAGTGGCTGTACATCCTTCCACTCTGTCCAAAGCGGCGACGACTGCTACGACATCACGGCAGATAATGGGATCGCCCTGGGCAAGTTGTATATCTGGAATCCGGCGCTCAATGGGGATTGTAGTGGGTTGTGGCCGGATTACTACATCTGTGTGGGGTTGTAAGCATTATATAGATACATACATGTCCATGCATAGATCTATATTGAAATAGCAATAGTTAGATACTTAGTAGCTAGGTAAATAGTATAGAGCTAGTTAACAAAACAAACTCTTTTTCTTTTATCTTGAATGAAATGCTATAACCATAGTTATGATAATAAGATAGCTCTATCTACTATAGTTATAATTACATGTATCGAGCAGGGGGCGGCCAGATCCAATCTCTTTCCCACTGTGCATCCCTCGAGTGTCCCGCAGCTGCATGCAACATAATCAGCTCTGAGGTATACCGATAGGGCTTCCGTTTCGCGTCGCCCTCGAGATCGCGCTGTACCAAACGCGCAAATAACGCGGGGGTGATATGCTTAATGTCGACCTTGAGTGGTTGTCCAGCCTTAGCCTCAACCTCAGGTCCAACCCCAGTCCCAGTCCCAGTATTATCATCATGTTCAGGCTTGGACTTAGGCTCAGTCTCAGTCTCAGTCTCAGACTTAGGTTCAGCTAACCAGATATATGGCCTGGCTGTCTCGCGCGAGTATAACGCCTCCTCATCCACATAGAGAAACGCATCCGGTCGAAGGCCAAGCGGGACTTCGTGGCTCCGGAGCATGGTGCTAAATCTATTCTGCAGTGCACTCGGATTCAAGTTATCACCCGGGACAGCCACCCAGTACAGGGTGAACTGGTCAAACGTCTCCTCCTTAACCCGGTGCGCTAAATAGTGTAATCCATGGTGAACCGCCATTTCAATCTGTTTTTTGAAATCTGGAACACGAGCATCTTCTAAATTGTAGAACACCACGAGACCAAAGCAACCCATGTCTACTGTTCCAGCTCCCATTGCACTTGAGGAGATGTCCATGGTTGAGCTTGAACTTGATGAAGCCAAACCCCACTCCTGCCACGGCACCCGCATCCCATACTTGATATTTCGTGCATCGTCATCACTCAGCGTCTCGGCCGCCGCCAGCTCCGCTGCCGTCCATCGCGACACAATCCTCCATGCGATATCTCTGGCAGCCCTGACGTCTTCTGTTGTCGCCGCGGCCATAGCTCGAGCCGTCAAGTCGCGATCTTCCTGACTGAGTCGCACCACCTCGCTCAGGAGCCGGCCTGGTTGACCCGGGACCACACCTGCTGATAGGAGGTGGGTTTCTTTATGCGTCAGGCCGCCATTCAAATCAATAGCCTTAGCAATGAGCTCGGCCATGCTTAGCCCGCAGGCATTTCGACAGAGGGTGTCTTCTTCCTCTGGTGGGGGGCGGCGGGTGATGAGTCGCCGTTCTTGATCTGTTAGTGAGGAGGGGTTGGTTATGGCACGGTTGTAAAGGGTGCGTGTTGACTGGTCAAGGGTTAGAGGGATTCTGTTTGTGTTGATGTCAAGAGGGTTGGATCCCCCATTATTGATCGGAAAGGACATATTTATTATTTAAATTAATAGAAGAAACAAGAGGAAGAATGAATTAAATAGTTATATGTAGGAAAGTACATATGAGTTATAGTTGGTTGTAGTGGAGCTTGCTTGTTCCCCCCTTTTAGGTGGGAGACAATAGGCAGGTTGCAGCAGTGGGTCTAAAAGTTCGTGTCAGTCAGCTATACCCCTACAGTTGTCGGATATATAATGATCCCAGGGGTAGCTCAATGGAAGCAGGTGATCGAATGAATTGACGTGTGTATTTTCTGGGGGGTTGTGTGCTTGTCTAAGGCCTTAATATAGGGTTTTAACCTTCCTTTACTTACTAATGATATAGTATAACTAGCCTTAAATCCTCGCTACACTCGGCGGCTTGTTGGGGCATATGGCAAACTAATAGTATAGTCTTAATTATAGTATGATAGCTACTGTATTAATGTAAGTATGGAAGTTAGAATTAAAATAGGCATTAAAGTAGATATTAAAGGAGGTATTAGCAGGCATCATGTCAGGGTACAGAGTTGGATTCAGATATTCATTGACTAGGAGCTAACTAGACAGAACAGCAGAATAGTAGGTATCAGGTATTAAACAGGACATAGCTCAAAGAGCTATAATAGGATTAGGAATAATATAGCTTAAATATAGGAATAAGAGTAGATAATTAAGGCAGAATTTAACTAGATAGATATTATAGCTTTATACTATAATAGTACCCCCCTGTCAGGGTGCAGAGTTGGATTTAGATATTCATTGACTAGGAGCTAACCAGATAGAATAGCAGAATAGTAGGTATCAGGTAATAGATAGGATATAGCTTAAAGAGCTATAATAGGATTAGGAATAATATAGCTTAAATATAGGAATAAGAGTAGATAGTTAAGGTAGAATTTAATTAAATAAGTATTATAACTTTATACTATAATAATACTCCCCTTCTTAGGATTAAACTTTATTAAGACTAGAGAGGAATTAGCTAGGGCTTCTTAAAATAATAAAAATAATAATTATTTATTAATTAATAAATATTCTCTAGATATTTAATAGATTCTTTAATTAATTTATTATATTTAATTTATTTAATAATATATTATAGCTTAGATTTATTATAATTTTAATAAATTTATTAGAAATTAAGAATTTTTTTAATTTTTTATTCTTTTAATTTTTCTACTTTAATAAATAATAATAAATTAAGATATTAGTTAAATAGAAGATTATTAATAATAAAATAAAGTAAAAATATATTAAATATAAAATAAATTTTTATATTTTTAAATAATTTAAATTTATAAATATATAAGTTAATAATTTTTTTAATATAATATAATTTAAAGTTCTTTTAATCTAATTTCTTTTATAAATAAAGTATTTAAATATTATAGGTATCTAGCTAGATTTCTTATCTTATAATATAGTAATATATAAGTTATTTTTAGTAATTAACTTATATTTTATAATAAGCTTAAATAAATAAGATTTTAATATAAATAAATTTATAAATTTTATATATAATATTAGTAAACTTCTTAATATCTTTTTTAATAAAGTAGATAGTAAAATAATTTAATTTAAATCTTAATATTAGATAAAATCTATAATTAGCTATAAATAATAATACTTTTATAAACTTAAAATAAATAAAGTTAATAATAAATTTAATTATTAATAATTATTTAAATTAATTATTTTATAAATATAATATATATACTTATAAATATTATTCTAAAATAATATTAATATATTTAATTTAATTATTAGTCTTAAAATAATAAGTAATAAATAATAAATTATAAATTTTTAAGTAAGATATTAAGTATTTTTAAAAAATAGTAATAAACTAGATTCTATAATCTAATATAATTATTTTAAGGATATTATAGAGTTTTTAAATATATTTAAGATATAAATTAGCTATTCCTTTAGTATTAATTATTCTAGTATAAGAGAGGAAGTATTTTATCTTTATTAGATAATTAATTATAATTAAAATAGTATTATAATTATTATTTAATAGTAAGTATATAATAAAGTTTATATTTATATCTTACTAGATATATTTAAAAATTAATAGAAATCTTAATATTTCTTACTTTACTTTTTAGGAAGGAGTAATTTAATAATAAAAATAATAATTTTAGACTTATTAATTAATATACTTATAAATCCTAGACTAGAAATATTTATATAATATTAGTTTATATATCTTAATTTTTCTAGAATATCTAGTAATAGGATTTTTATAATAAAGTCTTAATATTTTAATTTTTATCTTATTATAATTAAATATATAAAGTTAGTCTTAATATCTTAAGTATAAATTAGTATATTTATAGTTAGCTAGTATAATATTAGGGTATCTTAATAGATTATTCTTTAGGATATTTAGAATAGACTAGAACTTCTTATCTTATAAATAAGCTTTATTAAATAGTAATTATAATATTAGTAGTAGGGAGATTAGTTTATTAGTAGTAGGTTATTTAATAAAGTATATTTAGTATTAGTTATTAATATTTAGTCTTAAATTAGTAGTAGTCTTAGGTAATAAGTTTTTAGATTTTAGAATAGTCTAGCTCTAGTAAAGGAGTTATTTATTCCCCTCTTTAGGCAGGTCCTCTAACTGTAAGTGTCTCGCTGGCGAGGCGCTTGGGTATAGATAGTGTTAGTAAAGGAAGCAAAGCTATACATAGTATAAGGATAATAAGAAGGTATTAGAAGTAATAAAATAAAGTACTTGCCTCTTAGTATTTTAGGAAGTTATTATATTATTATTTATATTACCTAGTTAAGTTACTAGTATAGTATAGATAAGTTAATTGTCAGGGGGCAGAGTCAGATTCAGATATTCATTGACTAGGAGCTAACCAGACAGAATAGCAGAATAGTAAGTATCAGGTAATAGACAGGATGTAGCTTAAAGAGCTATAATAGAATTAAGGATAATATAGCTTAAATATAGGAATAAGGATAGATAGTTAAGGTAGAATCTAACTAGATAGGTACTATAGCTTTGCACTATAATAGTACCCCCTTCTTTAAGGTTAAGCTCTATTAAAACTAGAGAGGAATTAGCTAGGGTTTCTTAGGATAATAAAGATAATAATTATTTACTAGTTAATAAATATTTTCTAGATATTTAATAAATTCTTTAATTAATTTATTATATTTAATTTACTTAATAATATATTATAATTTAGATTTATTATAATTTTAATAAATTTATTAAGAATTAAGAATTTTTTTAATTTTTTATTTTTTTAATTTTTTTACTTTAATAAGTAATAGTAAATTAAGATATTAATTAGATAAAGAGTTATTAATAGTAAGATAGAATAAAAATATATTAAATATAAAATAGATTTTTATATTTTTAAATAATTTAAATTTATAAATATATAAGCTAATAATTTTCTTAATATAATATAATTTAAAATTTTTTTAATTTAATTTTTTTTATAGATAGAGTATTTAAATATTATAGATATTTAATTAGATTTCTTACTTTATAATATAATAATATATAAATTATTTTTAATAATTAACTTATATTTTATAATAAATTTAAGTAAATAAAATCTTAATATAAATAAATTTATAAATCTTATATATAATATTAATAAACTTCTTAGTATTTTTTTAGTAAGATAAATAATAAAGTAACTTAATTTAAATTCTAATATTAAATAAAATTTATAATTAATTATAAATAATAATACTTTTATAAACTTAAAGTAAATAAAATTAATAGTAAACTTAATTATTAATAATTATTTAAATTAATTATCTTATAAATATAATATATATACTTATAAGTATTATTCTAAAATAATATTAATATATTTAATTTAGCTATTAATTTTAGAGTAATAAATAATAAATAGTAAGTTATAAATCTTTAAGTAAGATATTAGATATTTTTAAAAAATAATAATAAATTAAACTCTATAATTTAATATAATTATTTTAGGAATATTATAAAATTTCTAAATATACTTAAAGTATAGATTAATTATTCTTTTAATATTAATTATTCTAATATAGGAAAGGAAGTACTTTATCTTTATTAAATAATTAATTATAACTAGAATAATATTATAACTATTACTTAATAATAAATATATAATAAAATTTATATTTATATTTTATTAAGTATATTTAAAAATTAATAAAAATCTTAATACTTCTTACTTTATTTCTTAGAAAGAAATAATTTAATAATAGAAATAATAATTCTAGACTTATTAATTAATATATTTATAAATTCTAGACTAGAAATATTTATATAATATTAATTTATATATCTTAATTTTTCTAGAATATCTAATAATAGGATTTTTATAATAGAGTCTTAGTATTTTAATTTTTATCTTATTATAGTTAGATATATAAAGTTAGTCTTAATATCTTAAATATAGATTAGTATATCTATAGTTAGCTAGTATAATATTAGGATATTTTAGTAAATTATTCTTTAAAATATTTAAAATAAACTAGAGCCTTTTATCTTATAAATAAGTTTTATTAAATAGTAATTATAATATTAGTAGCAGGGAGATTAATTTATTAGTAGTAAGTTATTTAGTAAAGTATACTTAATATTAGTTATTAATATTTAATCTTAGACTAGTAGTAGTCTTAGGTAGTAAGTTTTTAGATTTTAGAATAATCTAGCTCTAGTAAAGAAATTATTTATTCTTCTTCTTAAATAAATTCTTTAATTTTCTAATTAATATATTAAGCTTAATATCTAACTTCCTAGAATAATAATATATTTAGAAATTAAATCTTAATAAAAATTTAGACTAGTAGGCTTATTAATAATTTAATAGCTTAATTAATATAAAATACTCTAGATTCTAGTAATCTATAATAATCTTTATAAATAATAAAATTCTTTCTAATTTAGAATATTATTTTTTAAAGTAATAAATAATAACTAATAATTCTTTATTATAAATCTTATAATTATA